AATGACATCTGTCTGAAGAGTTTAGACCTGATCACCACCCTTCTCAGAGAAGTCTCAGGAAGACGAGGTAAAAATGAGTCATTTACTAATGAGATCCCCCTCACACACACACAAAACCACTCCCATATTTCTCTGTGAGTTTTATAACCAGTATTAAAAACTATGTCCACACCCATCTCCCTTACCAAGAGCAGAGATGCATCAGAAACATGATTTAGAACAGGGCCTTTCATGGCCCAGGATTCCCAGTCACAATATGACTCACTCTGACACTGATTTAACAGGTTTTCTTTTTTTTTTTTCTATTTTGGGATAGGGTCTCTAGGCCAGGCTGGCCTCAAACTCCTTGTGCAGGATGACCTTGAGCCTCTGATCCCTCGTTCCTGAGTCCTGAGGTTACAGGTCTGAGTCACCACACCCAGTTTTTGAAGGCTGGGGATCAAACCCAGGGCTTCCTGCATCCTAGGCAAGCACCCTACCCACTGAGCTACGTCCTAGCACTGATTAATTCTTAGTTAGGAGAGCTGTGGTTTGAGAAAAACTTCAACTACTACAACATATATTTCCCTCACTCAATGAAGACCAGTAGGGTAACTGTAAAGAAGTTACATAGGCCCTAGAGATCAGAAATGCACACCACTGGGGACCAGGTCTACCATCTAAGATTCTTGTTTCCCCAGTAAGTATTCTGCTACGTCCCTCGCTTGACTATACCCCCAAATAAGCCCCTCCCCCTCCCCTTATTACCATGGCAAGTCCATCTCCAGCCCCCATCTCTCCCGAGCCGATGTGAGTCAAGTGGACAAAATTCATGGGTTCCCCGATCATGGTGCGGTCAATCCGTCTTCTCCTCTTCTTCTGTTTGGAGAAGACAGGGAGTCACATATGCAGCCATCTCCTCCCGTGGAGGAAGGGGAAGGAGTCTCGCAAAACCACTAAGAGTGAAGGGTTGATTTGGCAGTATAACGGGCAAACATCAGGGTAGGCAAGACGAAGTTGGAGTAACAAACCAGAGACACTGTCACCAGAGTGGTAAGGACCGGTCTGCCGAGTGATCACACAAAGAAAGGACAGAGCAAAGACACCTCTGGATGAAGAGGGGGACGCTGACAGGTCTTCAGTTCTACCTACAACCCCTGCCCACCTCAGAACAGGAGCAGGTGACAGCTAGAACTATTCAACTCTTCTGTCACACAGGCCCCTTTATTGCACATGCGCATACTTGGCCTGCCCCAGAAGCTCTCAGGAGGTAGGTGAGAAGTGTGGTTTTCGGAAGGCAGACCAGAGATGGCGTGTCCACTTCACCGCACATGGTAACTACTTCCTGTGCATGTGTCGGGGTGGGGACAGGGCACTTACCGGCTGAGGCTTCTCGACCACGCAGCAGCCCAGTTTGTGCCAAAATTCACTCATATTCCCTGATGGTTCCAGCTTCGGGCCTCTGCCAGATGCCCCAGAGGGCTCTTGTTTTGTTGCTAACCAGCCAGTCCTCACTCTCAGGTGTAACAACACCCTGGGCTCACACAGCTGGATGGCTCGGGAATCCTAGAGACCCTTAGCTGTGTGGTGAAGGTCAGAACCTGGAGCCACTAAAAGCATTAGCAAGAGGCTTGGGCAGGCAGGCACTGTCTTCTTTAGATGTGGGATCCTGAATTTTAGCAGAAAGAAAAAAAAAAAAAAGGTTAGTGAGAAACATCCCCCGCCATCCCCATCCCCCAGACCTTCTGATAAACCTCCATCTTCTCTCTTGGAGGCTCTACTACCGTACCCCAATACTGACCCCCTCCAAACACAAGGGCTCACGGTTGCTTCTTACAATGAATAGTGCAAAAAGACCATCAACAGGGTAAGGCGCAGTGACTCCTGGGACCAGGGAGGAAGGGGCTAAGGACTCTGGATGAGACAGAGAAAACCAAACAGCGACAGAAATGAACAGTTAGGGTGCTACCAACTTCAGCTCCCTTCTCCCTGGGCTGGGGCAGGAGGGGAGGGGCATGTGAGTGACTCTGAAGAGGAAATAGTGGTTTTTGTTCTCACAAACAAGGCCTCCGCCCTGGCCTCCCTTTTCTCTTACCTTGCCCCAACACCTAAATTGCCTTAGGACCACCTAGTTCCTAGGAGGCTAACTGCAGAGGTGCCGGCCTCAACAAATCCTTCTGGAGCGAGGAATTTCTTCCTGCTCACTCCAGCGTCTTGGTGCCTCCTCACTTCCCCCAGCTGTGGCCCAACGGCCTCCCAGAGTCCATTTAGAGTTAATATCTGACCTTGTGTAGGCTGTGTGCGCGTGCCCTTTACAGGTAATGTCCTGAGGAATCACTTCGCAGCCTCCCCACCCTTTCTCACGTGTCCCATCCTGTGCAGTTCGGTGTCTTACGCCCTATAAGGCTCAGGCCTCCCTGCCCCCTCCCCTCCCACTCTGACCTGTTCTCTTCCTCCTTCCCACCACTTCCAAGCACCCAGTGAACCAGACACAGGAACTTTCCAGTAGCACTTGTGTCCAAGGCAGAACTTTCTCCCCTTCTCCCTGCCGCCACCCTGGGGTGACGGCCATCTGAGTTTCCTCTACACGGACTGTACTGCCCTGTCCTATAGCACAGCCCAGGAGTCCAATAGGGCAGTTCATGAAGATTAAACAGTAGCATGAATGGGACCGGGCCTTTCCTCTAGGCTTGAGGCTGGAAGCTGGGTGCTCCATCCGCCTAGACTGACCAAAAAAACGGAGTTTTGTTTGTTTTTTTTTTTTTTTTTGAGTGTTTTTTTCTGTGTTGTTTTCTAGCAGCCTTGAGATGAGATCACTCAGTGGAACATAGCTTCTAGGGTAGGAAAGAACCCAAGAGTCTGGGCTTTCTTTCACCTCCCTTCCCACCCCTGGGAGGGAGGAGGAGGAGGAGTAACCAGGACTGGTCAGAGCACAGCTGTCCTGAGAGGGGAGGCCTGGTCAGTGGGAAAGTCGGTCACAAGGCTTGTCATGATGGTGGCCGGTGGTAAGGGTTGGGGAAACGGAGAAAACAATAAAGAATCAGAGGAAACCCCCAACACTACCAGACAGTCCATACTGAGGCTGGACTCTACCCAGGATTCTCCACCCTGCTCAAAGCTGAGTGGACAGAGGTGGCCAATGCTGAGAGCAGGGAAGAGGAGGAGGGAGAGGAAAGGGGGCCCTGGAGGGAACAAGGACGTTTCTGTTTCTCTTCCAGGGACCTGACCACGCTGGGTGGAGGGAAAGTGTGTGTGGGACTTGGCACGAAACAACCCATGATGATGAGAGGTGACCAGGAAACTCCATTCCCTAGGACATTAGGGTCCCTGAAACGTGGAGGCGGAGTCAGAGTGTGAAGACAGGCCAGGGTCAGTGCGGTAGTGTGGGGTGGGAGAAGAGGAACAAAGCCAGAAAAGGAAGTACTAGGCATTGGCTGTCACTCTGTTTTAAAGCAGCCAACGATTGGGATAGGGACAAATGAGGCCTCAGCTGGTGAGCTGAGGAGGGAGCGATGCTGCATCCACTGCCCACCACTTCATCCCCACAGAAAAAAGGAAGGAGACGGGGAAGGGAAGGGATCAAGGATTAGACCGCACAACGCCACATCCTGACAGTGGGGCCCCTCTCAGTTCCACAAGAAATCCAGAACCTGGAATGACAATCTCCAAAGCACGGTCATGGTCACGGTGGGCCGAACCGTAGAAGGGGCAAGCAGGACGGGGGTGGGGAAAAAGAGCCGGGGAGGAAGGATGTACTCAGGTAGTTCCCGGGGCCTGTGGTAGCCCCAAACCGGTTTTCCCGGTCCCGCTGCCTCCAGCCCCAAGGCCTCCAACCCGCTGTCTGACAAGCCTTCACAAGAAGCAGCTGGAGAGAAAGAGACTTGAGAATAGTGTGGGCAAATTCTGGCTGGACGCCCAGGGATGCAGCTGGTCCCTGTGTGGAGACCCTCCAGACACAGCGGGCCGCTGAGGGGCCCTGGCGAGAGGAATGGGCCCCTTTTCAGCCAAGTGACAGACATTTGTTCTAGTACCAACCGTGCCCTAACCCCAGGAAAGGGCTTCTGGGGACCTGAGAAAACAGGAGACCCTAATGTGTTCCCCTCCCCCAATATTTTCCATCAGACTCCAGCTCTGTCCCCCACCCCCTCGGAACTAAGATGGGACCCTCAGGGGATCGTCCTGGCTCTGTCACTGTTCTCCGGGGGCGGCCTCGGTCTGGCTTAGTCCTTCCGGGCCCCCCGGCACCCCTCCGTTTTGTCTGGGACAGCAGATCTCTGAGGTCAGTGGGCCGGCGAAGAGCCCCCGGTCGCTTCGCACCTCCCGCCCGGCCCCCACGCTGCGATCGCCGAGTCCCTTGCCTTCCCCCGGCTGGCGCTGGCCGCGCGTGGACGGTGCCCGCGACCTGCTCCCCGCCGCCCTGCCCTGCCCTCCCCGCCGCCCTGCACTGCCCTCCTCCCCGCCGGCCGCCCGCCCGCCCGCCCGCGCGCAGCCCGGCCCGCCCGGCGGCGCTCTCACCTGCGGCTCCCCCGGCGTCCAGGCGGTGGCCGCTGCGGGCGGGGGCTCCGCCGCTCCGGCTTCCCGGGCTGCTGCTCGGCACGGCGGGGAGTCGAGGGCAGGGCCGGCAAGAGGTGGGGCCGGCCGAGGGCGGAAACGCCGGCGACGCGATTACGAAAGCCGCGGGGCTGCGAGCCGAGCGCAGCGCTCCGCCCAGGCCTGCCCGCCCCGGGGCGCACGGCGTGGCCCGCGGGGGACACCCGCAGCACCCCGAGGGTCTGCGCTGCGCCTGTCCACCTGTCGCCGGCGCAGAGGCGAGCACGCGCGGGGGGGGCCTTTCCGAGCCTCCCCGAGTCCCCCCCCCCCCTTGAGTCCTCCCAGTGGGCAAGGAGGGCCGTTTTGTGGTCTAGCGGGAAGACCTTTTAATCCGTACATCTAAGTTAGAGGGCAGTTGACCGCCCGGCCATCGCACCCCGGTCAGCCGGGGGGGTGCTGGAGAGGTGGGGGTGCTGGGCGAGCCGGGGGCGAGGCGCTAGCCCGGGTGGCGTGTTCCGGAACCTATCATTCGAATTAGCCGAGTCAGGCAGAGAGGGGGCGGGGAGCGCTTCCGCCCTTGCTAGGAGGGGCTGCATTGCAGGGGAGACCCGGCGGCCGACTCTGTCACAGACGAGGGAGAAGGCGTGAGCAGACAAAGCCGTCTCGTCCCCCCAACGGGCTTCCTTCGGCAGCCGCCTCCTCTCAGGCCCAGAACCGACCCCCGAGCCCCTGAGGCAGCCCCTCCATCTTCGGAACACGCTAGTCATTCATTGATAACAGGTAACCTAGATTAGAGGGGCGCCTTCTCAAGCTCGGAAGACCCCCGTGTGAGACTAGGTGGGGGACGGTTGAAGAGGAGAGAAGGGGGCGCTGCGAACAATGGGTAGCTGGTACCAGGTTTTTATCTCTGTTGAGATCTCCATCTATGCCTTATCATGGACCTAAGCGTTCATTTCTAGCTCTTCACCTGTAATTATTTCTCGGCTTTTAGCTCCTCATTTCATGTATCCATTTTCCTATAATTTTTGCCCTGTGCATCTAATGACTTCTGTCTAGTGTCTGGTTATCTGCATCTCCCTTTCCAAGCTATAATTTTTGCTACCAGTTATTTGGTGAATCTTTATTCCCACTATAATTCCTGTAGCCTCTACTGCCTTATATTTCCACCCCTCCACTGCTCTGTATCAGTTGGAAGGGAGTTTTGGGGAGTAGGGTACCCCCTTTTTTTTAATATGGGATACTATTGAGAATGATCCAAACCTTTAACAATCTCCCCCCTGTCTCAGATTTTTTTACTCCAAAGAGCCTTGAGGTAGGACAGGTGGGGGCGACCGTGGAATTGCCTGATGGCATGTTGCGATCAGTGCAGCCCACAGGAACCACTGATGAGAGCAAATTTTCCTTTGCAGCCCCTCTTAATTAGTGGGGAAGGTTGTGGCTGATAGGAAAATCCTAGAGCAACATGAGAGATACCAGAGAGCTTCCATGTCCACCCTCCACCCTTAGACTGCACGGTAGCATGACACAGCAAGGCCTGTGGAGTAGGCCTTGGATGCTCTTGGGGAGGGGGTCTGGACAAAGGGTATTTGGGTGTGTCCATGTGGCTTAAAGAAATCGTATCTTTTTAATGTGTGTAGTTATTAATCATTGTATCTCTAGGAACTGACAATGAAATTTAGAAGTTACTTTGCCTAAAATATCTGGATATTTCAAAATGAATGGCATCGGGAAACATTTATTGAGCCGGTATCATGGCATCGGTCACCATCTAGTGCCTTTAAGATTAAAAATAGGTGGGGCTGCAGAGGTGGCTCAGGGGTTAGGAGCACTGGATCCTATTCCAGAGGACCCAAGAGGACCCGGGTTCAATTCCGGTACCCACATGGCAGCTCACAACTGTCTGTTGTGTCAGAAGAAGATATGACATCTTCACACCAATGCACATAAAACAGAATTAAATAAATTATTTTTTTAAAAAAAGATAAAAATAGGTAAAAAGATGGGTGAAGGAAATTTAAGGAAGGAAAAGGGAAGCCATCTTAAAAGCAGCCTATCTTTTTATTTTAATGCCACATATGCCTATCCGTCTGTTTTCTGGAACGAATTTGGGTCTCTGTACATGCCTCTGGGCTGGAGATTTTCAGCTTTTTACTATTTCCTTTAAATATTTCCACACAATTTCATTTAAATTGTTTTATTTCGAATTGGTTTTGTGTTTTGTTCATGTTCTTTTTGTCTGAGTTTTGAGGGGCTCTGGACTCACGATGCAGCTCAGGCTAGGCTTGAACCCACAATCCTTGAGCCTCCTGAGTGCTGGGATTGTAGTTGTGTGCCACCACACCTGACTCTTGCTTTTCAGTTTGGATGATAGGTCTGCCAGTCTCTGATAAATTGTTTGGGCAACTATGCTATCCATGTTACACTTGTAAGGAAAGGAGTCGGTTTGTCAACGCTGACTTAAAAATCTAGCTCATTCTCTACTCTGTTTTTCAAAACAGTTTCTTGTAGCAGGCTTACATCAAACTCCTGATCCTCCTGCCTCTACCTGCCAGATGCTGGGGTTTCAGGAATTCCCTACCATCTCCAGCTCTCTTATTATTCAGATTAGAATCACAGAAAGTGGTCAACAGGATATACTAAGGAAATAATTACTTTGAGAACTAAATTCTTAGCTGGGAGCAGTGGCACATGCCTGTAATCCCAGGACTCCGAGGCAGAGGCAAGGATTCCAAGTTAGAAGCCAGCACTTGGGCTACATGTCAAGATCTTGTTTAAGAAACAAAAATAAAACCACAAACACATGTCTTTTTTTAGACAGGCTTTCACTGTGTAACCCTGGTTGGCTTGGAACTCACAGAGATCCGCCTGCCTCTGCCTCCCGAGTGCTGGGATTAAAGACGTGCGCCACCACCGCTCAAAGTTCATAATGGGGCTTGGTGGTACATGTTTATATTCCTGGCTCCTAGAAGGCTGAGACAGAATTGCTGAGAGTACCGGGCCAGGGCTGGGAGGGAGATGGCTCAGTGAGTAATACCATCTTTACTCACCCAAGTGTGAGGACCTGAGTTGGAATCCTCAGAACTCACCTCACTTAAAGTGGGGCTCGGGAATGCAGCTGTAATCCCAGTGCTACAACAAGATGGAAGGCAGAGGAGGAGAAGCCCCAGACGCTCCCAGCCCAGCTTGCCTGGGTTACAAGGTCAAACAAGTAGAAAGAGTTCTAGGACAGCCAGGGCAACATAGTGAGATCCTGTGTTGCTAGAATTTTCCTGCCTGGCCCACAGTCAGGACAAATCTCTCTCACCTGCCAGTGCCACAGCTGCTCAGACCTGACCAAGTAAACACAGAGACTTATATTGCTTACAAACTGTATGGCCGTGGCAGGCTTCTTGCTAACTGTTCTTACAGCTTAAATTAATCCAGTTCCATTAATCTATACCTTGCCACATGGCTCGTGGCTTACCGGCATCTTCACATGCTGTTTCTCATCGTGGTGGCTGGCAGTGTCTCTGACTCAGCCTTCCACTTCCCAGCTTTATTCTCCTCCTTGTCCCGCCTATACTTCCTGCCTAGCCAATGGCCAATCAGTGTTTTATTTATTGATCAATCAGCAACACATTTGACATACAGAACATCCCACAGCGACCCTGTCTCAACAAAATTTAAAACAAAAAAAATATTTTTTTTTTCTCATTTTAAGTCAGGTGTGAGGATGATACCTGTGATCTCAGCACCCAGAAGCTGGAAGTTGTGACTAGAGAGGATCTTGAGTTCCAGGCTAGCCTGGGCTATATAAGTTTCTACATAGCTTGGGTTACATAGCTAGACCCTAGCTCAAAAGAACAAAAATTATTTTTTTTCTTTTTCCTAATGATTCTATTTTTTTTCTTTTTTTTTTTTTGAGTATTTTTTTTTCTTAAGAGCCTATTATGTAATCTGGGTGTCAGAAGGATCAGAAATTCAAGGTCAGTCTCTGCTACTTCAGTTCTTAGGCTACCTGAGACATTGTCTCTGGAAAACAGTCTATCATATGCCCTGTATTATAGGAAGGTCACTCTGTAGGAGACTTATAAGAGAGGGTGTTTTTTTGTTTTGTTTTGTTTTGTTTTGTTTTTTAGAGTCAGCTAGCTAGGCAAAGCCTGGTGATGTAATAAACTTCCCTGATAATCAGAGTCAGTAACAGCCTGACTTCTAAGGCTTGTTCTTTGCAGTCCCAGACCTAAGCAGGGATTGGTTGGCTAAAAGGTGTTATAGATACAGTCATGCTTGCTAGCTCTCTGCATGTTACCATGGAGATGATCAGAGCTGAGTTCATAGGGCAGTGACCTCACCTTTCTACAAATTCCCTGGCCCTGCTTCAGTCCCGGAATCACGCTCTTGTTAAACTGCTTCTCTGTTGAGTAATGTTCAGTTCCCAGGGGCTTATTTTGGAGCTTGATGAGAGAGACAGAGAGAAAGAGATACAGAGAGACAGAGAGAAGAGAGAGAGAGAGAGAGAGAAAGAGAGAAGAGAGAACAGAGACAGACAGAGAGAGAAGAAAGGAGAAAGGGAAGGAAGAGGATGGATGGACAAATGAAATAAACCCAGAATTTGCTTTTTTAAGCCGGCTATCCTGAATCATGCCTGGAAACCCAGCATTTGGGAGATGAAGGCAGGAGGAGCAGGAGTTAGATTTTGAAGCTAGTATGAGACCTTGCCTAAAAAAAAATGATTTATTATTATTATTTTGCTTGTTTTGTTGGAGCTAGGGTCTTGCCCAGCCTGGACCCAAACTCATACTCCTCAGACTACTGCCTGAACCTCTTGATCGCTGCGAATACCTTTCATCCCAGCACTCAGGAGGCAGAGGCAGGCGGATCTCTGAGTTCGTGGCCAGCCTGGTTTGTTTGTTTGTTATGTTTTGTTTTGTTTTTGAGAGACAGGGTTTCTCTGTGTAGTTTTGGTTCCTGTCCTGGATCTCACTCCCTAGACCAGGCTGGCCTCGAACTTACAGAGATCCGCCTGGCTCTGTCTCCTGTGTGCTGGGATTAAAGATGTGCACCACCACTGCCCGGCCGCCAGCCTGGTTTATAAAGCAAGTTCTAGGGCAGCCAGAGCTGTTGAAACAGAGAAACACTGTCTTGAAAAACCAAAAAAAAAAAAAAAGAGAGAGAGAGAGAGAACCTCAGTTCAAATCCCCAGAAGCCAAATAAAACTGGGTATGGTTGCCTGTAGCCCCAGAAATATGGGAGGGTGGAGACAGAAGGATGGCTGGACTTGTTGGCTACCAGGCTAGCTCCAGGTTCAGAGCGACCTGTCTCAAGGAAATGGGGCATGTATTGATAGAGCAGGACACCTGCTGTCCTCTTGCCTCCTTCCATATCCTCATGGGTGTGAGTGAGGCCGTGTGTATACCTGTGTCTGTCTATCCTTGCGCAAGATTAAGGGGAGAAGGCCAAATCTGAAACCCAAGTGTGTGGTCCACAGCTGGAATGCCATCACTCTGGAGACTGAGGCAAGAAGATTGACAGAAGTTTGGGGTCCAGCTGGACTATATACCAAGTAACAGCCAGGGTTACAAGGGAATACCCTGTCTCCAAAAAAAAAAAAAAACCAGCCCAAAAGTTCTGGCTTGGTGTGGTGATCCATTCCTGTAATTCCAGCACTATGGAAGCCTTCGCATGAAAGCTTTGTATTCAAAGTCAGCCTGAACTGGAGTTGAGTTTGAAGCAAGACTCAAAAACAAAACCCCTCTTCTGGTCTACCCACTGACCATTTAGAACCCCACATTTCCTGCAGATTGTGTTCTAGGTTAATTTTCCTACTTTGGTAGAGACATTTCACTTCATGTAGGGACATTTTGGAACCTACTTAAGGCCACTTTTTAGGAGTCACAGGCTGGTAAGGGCTGATAGTGTGTTCCAGAAAGGCTTTTTGAAACTCTGGCTTCTATTTTTGGTGGCAGTTGGAATGTTCTTTTTGCTCCTTTGGGAACATTTAACCTAAAGCTTCTTGCCCTTTCCTGGCTGGTAAATAATCCATGGAGGCTCCAGAGAACTCTACTGGTCACACAGAGTGAGGTGTGGGTTGGATGAGAAGCAAAGGTGTTAGAACTGATCCTTCAGACGTGGAAAGAGGAGTTGGGCATAGTGGCATGCGCCTTTAACCCCAGAACTCAGGAAGCAGAGGCCGTCGGCTTTTGGTGAGTTCAGGGCCAGCCTGGTCTGCATAGTGAGACCCTGTCTCCAGAAAAAGCTGAGATTCTGTCAAGGTACCATTTCCTTCTGATCTCAACTTTGCTTCCTTACCTGGTACTTCCAACCTGGTTGTTCTGTGTGGTCAGATTTTCTCTATCATGTGGATCAGAGGGAAAAGATCCTGGTGTAGTAGAACAAAGTTCTTCTAGCATCTGGGTTTGTTCTGAGGAGAGCTAGGCCAGAGAGACATAATAAAGACTTGTCACTTTGGGGACAAATGTGTGAGTAACAAAGTATTCACTATGCTAGTGAGGGCAAATTAATGTTTATATGTAAGGTCTAGCTCCTGCTTTACCCAAAAGTAGATGTGTTTGTTTGTTTTTTGTTTGTTTTGGTATTTTGGGGGAGGGTTGTAGCTGGAGTTTTCTCTCTGGGTCCCACCAAGCCCCGGCAGTCCGACAGCCCACTTATAAAATAAACACACGGATGCTTATATTATTTATAAACTGTATGGCCATGGCAGGCTTCTTGCTAACTTTTTATATCTTAAATTAACCCATTTCTATAAATCTATACCTTTCCACATGGCTCATGGCTTACCGGCATCTTTACATGTTGCTTGTCATGGCAGCGACTAGCAGTGTCTCCCTGACTCAGCCTTCCACTTCCCAGAATTCTCCTCTCTCCTTGTCCCGCCTATACTTCCTGCCTGGCCACTGGCCAATCAGTGTTTGATTTATACAGAACAATATCCACAGCAGAGGGTGTTTTTTGTTTTTGTTTTTGAGGCATGATCTCTTTATGTAGCCCTGGCTGTCCTGGAACTAACTCTGTAGACCAGGCTGACCTGGAACTCAAGAGATCAACTGCTTCTGACTCCTGAGTGGTGGGATTAAAGACATACGCCACCATGCCCAATCTAGTAGGTGGGTTTTTACCCATGGACGAATTTTTGGTCTCTTTAAGTAGATAAATGCATAACACATATCCAGTCCATCGTGATCTGTAACCAAAACAACGATGGAGTCAGGTAAAACTCTGCAGGGTGCTGGGAAGGCGCTGGGGGCGACTGCCTTGTGGGTTATGTCCTGGAGGAGGTGAGTTTGTAGTCAGTTTAAAGGCAAGAAGAGAAATAGAACATGTCATGGAAAACCTTTACAGAAGCATCATAACTTATTAAACAGACTTGAAGAAGCCAAATATTTAGTTCTGGAAATGTGTAGGGTCCTTGACCAGCACATGCAAAGTCCTGGCTTTGATTCTCAGCACAATTAATTAATTAATGGAGCAGGCCTAGTGGAGCAGGCCTGTAATCCCAGTTAATCAGGAGGCTGAGGCAGGAAGATTTCAAGTTCAAAGTTGGACTGGGCAAGTCAGTAAGATCCTGTCTGAAAGTAAAGGTAAAAAGAAGGCTTAGGGTATAACTCAGGGTTAGAACGTTTGCCTAGCACACCCAGCATCTGTTAACCCCTCAATACCACACACACACACACACACACACACACACACACACACACACGAGTGGGGCCAGATTTCAGAAAGCCTCGGAAATCATACCTGAGAGTAGAGAGATACAGTTCCTGCCTACTGTGCCTAAGGCCCAAGGTATATTACTGCAGGAAAACTTAGAGCCAAGGTAAGCCTGATGCAGTAGGCAGGATCTGGCCCACCTAAGATGGGGAGAAGTTAGGAGCTGGTGCAAAATCGTAATCGAAAGAGTTCCTGGTACTTGTCTTAGAAAACTTGGTTTATTCACCAGAGCAAACAAAAACAAGCAGTTTAAGCGAGGGAAGGCTTGGGGCAAGGAACTTGCTCTAGCATGAAGACTAACAAGTGATTTGCTCTTCCCCAGGGAAGTATGAGGGACCCTGTGAGTAGCCAGTACAGCTCCTTTCTGTTCTGGAGGATGCCCATCCCAGAACTGGATCTGTCGGAGCTAGAAGGCCTGGGCCTGTCGGATACATCCACCTACAAGAGCAAGGACGACAGCGTTGGCCAGATGGGCACTCAGTCGACCGGAGCGGAGCAGAACAACCCTGGAGGTGACCCCCTCCTCGAGTACAGCACCTTCAACTTCTGGAGAGCTCCCATTGCCAGCATCCACTCCATCGACTTGGACTTGCTTTAAGGCCAAAATGTCTCTCTCCCGCCCCTTATCCCCATTGCCGTCCCTTTTAAGCCCCTTCCTTTCTCAGCCTTTCCCGGTTTAATCTTGTTCTCTTCCCTCTCCTGTGCTGGTGGTGCCGATGAATCTGCCAATTGAATTGTATGTTTGTATGTATGTATGTATTTATTTATCTACTTATTTATTTATCTATTTATTTATTTATCTGCCTACTCCATGTCTCTCAGAAGCCTTCTAGGCACAAAGTCAATGGAGTACTAGATCATAGGATTTCTACCCCCAACCCCAAGAATATTAACTAGTCCCAGAAAACCATCCTTATTGGGGGCACCAGAGAGAAGTACAGTTGTGCAAAATGGGACACTGATTTTTTTCTTTGTTACATTTTAATCAGCTTTACAGATTCCTTGATCCTCCCTAATTTCCTGCATGGAGCCAATAAGCAAGTATTTCTTCAAGAAGTAGTGAGAACCTGGGAGTTTTGAGATGCTTTCTACAAACAGGATTCCTAAAAGGCTAAGGCAGGAAGTTCTGTTTCTTCTTTTGGTGCATTCTCTTCCCCAGAAATGTGGGGGTAGTTATGGGCACAAGAGGAAATAATACATCCTGGAGAATGGAAGTGAGGAAATGCATGGAATCATTTCAGAAATAGTTCCTTCAGCATTCACAACTGCTCCTAGCTGTGGGTTGGAAACTTTCAGAAAATCAGATTTCAGTCTTCATGTGGGAAACCTTAGTATTAGGAGAATCCATAAAAGGCAAAAGATTTATATGCTCTAAAGTGAAAGCAGAGTAGTGGGATGATTTATATAAAATTGTGATTCAGTCATGGAACAGGCAGAGTGTCCTTAGTATTTCAGCTTTGCCTTTCTGTAGTTGCGGTATGTGATAGGATCAGTGGTTCCTGGGCATAGTTCTTCAGCTACTGTAAGACCGTGAAATAAACAATTATATTCAGACCCTACACCTGTCCCCATTCCTTCCGAAGTTATTGCTGCTGGTTTGTGCTGCCATTTATTCATTTATTTAATAAAGACATTCAATCCGAAGTCTAGGTTTTAGTTTTCTCTTCTCGATGAAGTGCTACAGATCTTGGGATTTACTCATGCTTCCACATTCAGCTCTTCCTTTGTCTTTCTAATACTGACTTGGAGGAAGAATGATTTGGGATGGATGTAGCTCAGTGGTAGAAGTGCTTGCCAGGTGTTTACAAGGCCCTCCTAGAGTTCCTCAATAAGCAGCGAGTGTTCCTGAACCCTAAGCCACATCCCCAGCCCATTTTTTGTTTGTTTGTTTTTGAGACAGGGTTTCTCTGTGTAACAGTTCTGGCTGGCCTGGACACTTGCTTTGTAGACAGGGTTGGCCTCGAACTCACTAAGATCCGCCTGCTTCTGCCTCCAGAGTGATGGGACTAAAGGCGGAGTCGAACACGCCCAGCAGCACCCCAGCCCATTCTTAACTATTATTTTTGACTTATATGTATTTTGTTTGTTCATATTATTTATTTATTTTGAGACAGAGTCTCACTAGCTCTGGCTGTCCTAGAACTCACTATATAAACCAGACTAGCCTAGAACTGACAGATTCACCTGCCTCTGCAGGGGTGTGCCATTATGACCTTGTTTGTTTAAATTTGGGGCCTGGAACTTGGACCTTGAATTCAAAGATCTCTCTGCCTCAATTAGAGGCTTGTCTGTTACTGATTTTTACTTTTTTTTCTTTTTTTTTTTTTTTTTGGTTTTCCGAGACAGGGTTTCCCTGTGTAGCTTTGCTCCTTTCCTGGAACTCACTTGGTAGCCCAGGCTGGCCTCGAACTCACAGAGATCCGCTCGGCTCTGCCTCCCGAGTGCTGGGATTAAAGGCATGTGCCAACACCGCCCGGCTATCTGTTACTGACTTTTAAAGGGCTTTTTTTCCTTTTTGTTTTCTCCCCCTTCAACTTCATACCTCATCCCCTTCCCAGTCGCCCCCAAAAGTTTTAAGTTTCTCTTCCCTTAGAATGTCTTTATATTCAGGCTGTGATTGGCCAAGTGTCTGGTCAGGCAGGTGTCCGATTCACGTGCACGTCCAGGAATATCCCCAACAGTCTCACCGAGGCTGAGACAAGGAAGCAGATTCCCCCCGCACCCTAAGGCTAGCCCCGCGGAGAAGCCGTGGTCAGGTAGCGCGCACACTCCAGAGAGACCCACCCGTAACCGAGTTTCCCCGCAGCCCTGCACGCGTTGGCGCCAAAACGAACCATCTGGGTCCGTCCCCTGCCGGAACTATGCCTCACGTAAGCCACGTAATCAATGATCCTGCGCCTCGCTAAGTAGTCCCCGTTCAGGATGCCCTCGGCACACGCTTTTCGAGCTCAAGAGGTCCTCCGTAGGAAGGAATCGGCCTCAGAGGTGCGTTACAGTCTTGCCCGGAGGGCTAAGTGGGTTTTCTAACCCACTCCATTCAGATTCCTCCGCCAGGAGGCATAGTCACCGGGTCCTCACTTCCGGGTCCGCCATTTTATTGCCTCCATTTCTCCGCGAGGGGGGGGGGGGAGTACAGGTCCCCCAAATATGCATATGTGAAAAGGCCAAAAAGTGACGGCCACTGGCAGGGAGTCCTAACTAGAGAAAGAAACGGGACCAAACTGGCGGGCCCAGTGAGAGCGAAGCCGGCAGCGCTCGGGACGAGGTGAGGGGGAAGGAGCCGCAGGGTGCCGGAGCGTCCGGACCGCCGTGGAAGGGGCTGGGACAAGTGCCCAGCCCAGCCCGGAGCAGTGGGCGCGGGCCAGGAGACTGCGGGAGCGGGGGTGGCAGCGCGGGGGAGCGGGACAGAGAGGAAGGGGACGCTGTCGGGAGGAAGGGGAGGGGACTGGAAGGAGGGGAAGGGGGTGGGTGGAAGACCTGGGGCTGGGGAGCCGGACTACGGGACGCCGAGGCCACGGAGGTGACCACCAGGGGGCAGCGTGGAGCAGAAGTCCAGGCGCCTGCGAGCCTCAGATTTGGGGCTCCCTCTTGCAAGTTGGCGCCCGTTTTTGGCAGACGGAGCGCTGGTGTGAAGAAGGGAAGGACATTTGACTGAGGAGGATGCGGACACTCTTATTTATATTTCTGGGTTTAGTAATAACGTGAAGCTTTAGTAAGTTCCTAATCCGAACGAGAGCAGTCACGGCCTTATATCCAGTTCTTACACAGATGTTTGAACAGCTGGCCGCCCGGTGGGGACCCGTGCAATTCAAAAAAAAAGGAATACAATTATCCATAGGCCCTGAATTCTTTAATTGCTGTTTTCTCCCATTAGTGTGCTCCTGGTCTCAAATTTCCTCGAGGTATCCCCTTTTGCCTCCCACTTCCTGGAAAGACTTTTCTGTAGTTTCTGTCTTAAATAGTTGAGTCTCACTTAGCAGCTCAGACTGACCACCTTGCAGCTGTCCTCTTGCCTCAGCCCCTGGAGTGTTAGGCCAGGCCGGCCTCAAACTCACATAGATCCACCTGCCTCTGACTCTCTGGGATCAAAGGCATGCGCCACCACGGGAGACTGCTAATGTGTTTTTGTACGTGCTTTGATAAAGAGGAGTAAACCACCACACCCAAATTGCTAGATAAACAAAAGTGATTACTTTCTGGTCGTGGAGTCCTTTGTCGAGTGCTCAGGCACTCTATGGTTATTAAAACATTTATTGAAAGTTCTTAAAACCAAGTATGGTGGCATATGCCTGTAATCCCAACACTCAGCACTTGAGAAGAAGAGGTAGAAGGATCCAGGTGTTCAAGACCAGCCTGTGCTACTTGAGCCTCAGATGAGGAAACAAAACAAAACAAAAAACAGTTTTCTGGTCTTGCTTGGTATTTTATTCACCTTCAGATTCCCTGGAGGCAGAACTGGGGGTGTAGCTCAGGGGTAGTTGTGTGTCTAGCATGCCGGTTGCCCTGGATTCAATCCCTAGCACAGAGGGACTAGAAAGAAAAAAAAAAAGATCTTAGGATACTGATTAGACCAGATTTCGTGTAGATTTTAATGTGAAGGCACACCCTATAAAGGAGAGTAGCTGCGCTTGGTAGAGCTCTGAACATTGGAAGTGTCTAAGTTGGGCCAATGAGATAGTTTAGTAGATAAAAACTGCCAAGCCTGACTATCTGAGTTTGATCCTTAGGACTCACACAGACAGTAGCAAGAGAACCAACTCCTGTGGGTTGTCCTCTGGCCTGCACGCAGTCGTGAGTGAATACCCACAGAAGTGCATACATATAAATAAATACATTTTAATTGCCTATGTTACTCTCTAGTCTTAGAGTTCACACAGCCTTGGTGTGGCGGTGCTGGAAGAATGACCCATGAGTCTTCCCACAATGCTCTTATTTACTTAAAAATTTTTAATTTTTTATGTGTGCGGGTGCGCACGTTTGTGCATATGGAAGTCAGAGACAACCTAGAGATTCAGCTCCCCCCATGTAGAAACTGGGGATCTAAGTCAAGGTCATCAGGCCTAGCAGCAGACGTCACCCACTGAGCCATATATCTCACTGGCCCCCAATACTGTTATTTGTAGGTGCATTTTAATTTAGGTAGGTGCTTCAGGTTAAATCAAGAGTGTCTGCACAGCAAAGAAGAGCCACGAAGAACAGATTTCTAGACCATTTTCCCAGAATACAAGGAGGAACCAAGGTTAGAAGAAATTCCCATAGGTAGCCAAATATAAGAAGTGGTTTCCCAGCAGGGTGTAGTGGCGCACACCTTTAATCCCAGCGCTCGGGAGGCAGAGGCAGGATCTCTGTGAGTTCCAGGACAGCTAGGGCTACAGAGTGAGTTCGAAGCCAGCTAGCGCTATACAGAGAAACTCTGTCTCAAAAGACAAAAAATAACCCTTTTCCCCTAGCTCTTGGTATTGGCTACTTTTGGAAGGTCCGGCACAAGCAACCCTACTCCCTCGTTGGTTTGAAACGGGGTTTTGTGACACTGAGGCCAACCTCCAACTCACCATCACCCTGATTCAGGTTTCCCAGAGTGACTTCATTTGTATTTTTTTTTTTTTTTTTTTTTGGTTTTTCGAGACAGGGTCTCTCTGTGTAGCTTTTCGCCTTTTCCTGGAACTCACTTGGTAGCCCAGGCTGGCCTCGAACTCACAGAGATCCGCCTGGCTCTGCCTCCCGAGTGCTGGGATTAAAGGCGTGCGCCACCACCGCCCGGCCATTCATTTGTATTTTGACACTCCCCCCTCACCAGACTTGTCTCAAAACAGTTTTCTGTGAAGATAGCTTTGATACATTTGTTGATCTCAACTCTCCCTCATTACCATAATGATCTATTCAGATTGCTCTGATCTGATCCCATGTTGGAGAGTGACAGATGTCAAAAGTTAATAGCAATAAAACCTCATAGTTAATTTTAAGCAGATAAGAGTTATAGACGGATTGGCTTTTAAATCAGGCCTGCATGGAGTCTATTCTTGTGTTGGAATTCTGTTTCTCCTGCGGGTGAAGCCCTAGCATCTCAGAAATGCTTCTCACCTTGTTTTGTTGGTGGTTGTACTTCTACAGAATGTTAGCAGCCAACAATTAAAAAGCTTCACCAAAACAACCAACAAGAGCAAATGTTTAATGAAAACTAGCTTGAAAATTAAGTATTGTTTATAGGTGTGTTCCTTAAGTGATCGGTGTCCAATACCTTTTAATCATTAGAAACACTGCTTGGAGTGCGCAGTGTTAGGGCATGTCTAATGATCTTTGTTTAAAGCAGCTAACTAGTCAGTACAGTTAGGAGCACGTGAACACAGGCCTGGGAAGTTCAGGAAGCACCACTAACAATTCCCATCAGCTTGGCCCCCAGAGCATCGATCCTAAACCATGCATCTTGGCTTATACAGTACAGCAGGCATATAAATACAGCTGACATGTAAAGGAGCCAGCAACATTTGGCATCATTACACAGAACTATACAGAAATTTTCTATATAGTAGCTCAGCTTGTGCTCATTAAGCAAAATTTAGAATCTTTAGTTCCCTAGGTCTACAACACCAACAAAATCCAATCTTAGACCTTCACAAATTTAGTAATTTAGTGAGAGCGACCACAGGCTCATTTCTGGTGTGTTTCATGGGTACAAAACAAAATACTTTCATTCTGAGGCCAATAGATGGAGGTCAAGGTTTCAAAGAGCAGGATTACCCAAATGGCATACTTTTTATTTTGTATTGATCTTCTAAAATTAATTAATTAATTAATGTAATTTTTTTATGTAGGAGTGCTTTGTCTGCATGTATGCCTGCAGGTCAGAAGAGGGCACCAGATCTCATAGATGATTGTGAGCCACCATGTGGGTGCTGGGAATTGAAGTCAGGCCCTCTGGAAGAACAGCCAGTGCTCATAAGGGCTGTCCTGGAACTCGCTCTGGAGACCAGGCTGGCCTTGAACCCAGGGATTCACTTGCCTCTGCCCGTCAAGTGCTAGGATTAAAGTTGAAAAGAAATCTTTAAAAAGAAAAAAATTTATCTTGCCAGCAGTGGTGACACATGCCTTTAATCCCAGCACTTGGGAGGCAGAGTGTGAGAGGTGGGGGGCTCTCTTTGAGTTCAAGGCCAGTATGGACTATGAGTTCCAGGGCAGTCAGAACTATAGAGAAACCTTGTTTCAAAAAAGAAACAAACAAACAAAAAAATTAGCAAAAAGTCAGAGTTCCTTTAAGTTTCTGTTTATGTCTTTTAAATGACCACTTTGCAAGCAGCTATTCTAAGGTGATTTTAGTACATTTAATATGCTATGTATTTGTGACTAAAATATGCAGAGTGGAACCTACGTATTACATAGACATTTGAAGAGTTAAATGCATGTAAATTTAGAACATGCAAAGGGACCGTTACGTGTTCTGTAGTATGCAATGTGCATCATATCTGGATTGTCAACATGTAAGATAGCCAATGAAATTCTTTGACACATAGAAACCCTGTCTCAGAAAAATAAAAATTTGAGACAGGGTTTCACTATGTAGCTCTTGGTTGGCCTGGACACTGAGATCCATCTGCCTCTGCTTGTACATGTGTCTGCTTGTCTGTACGTGCACCATGTGCATGCAGTGCTCATGGAGACTGCAGAGAGTGAGTCAGATATCCTGGAACTCCAGTTCCAAGGGCATGTAAGAGGCCTAGTGTGGGTGCTGGGAACTGAACCCGGGTCCTCTGCAAGAGCAGCAACTGTTCCTACTCTCCCAGCCATCTCTCCAGCCCCAGTATTTATTTGACTTTTAATTAGGTACGTGTGTCTGTGTGTGGGTGTGTGCATGTGTGCGTGTGTGAGTGGAGTTAAGAGGAGTGGCTGGTTCCATGGAGAGAATCACAGGCTCCAAACTGGAGCCCCTGAAAGAGCAGTGGTCCTTCAACTGCTGAGCCATCTCTTCATTGCCCTAAAAGATTACTTTCGCTGATAGGTTGATTTAGGGTGGGAGAGCACATGCCTTCAGTGCTCATGTGGAGGTCAGAGGACAACTTTCAGGAGCCTGCCCTCTCTGGCCACCATGGGAGTCCTGGGGAATGGAGCTTTAGCTGTCAGGCTTGGTGGCAAGTTCCTTGTATGCTGAGCCATCTTGCTGGTCCCCAAGCAGTTAGCTCAGTAAAATATAAAATCTCTGGACTGAAGAGATGGCTCAGTGGTTATGAGTTTGTGCTGTTTTTGCTGATTTTGGTTCCTAGCCAAGTAAGGTGGCCCAAATCCACCTATAACTACAGTTCTGAGGGACTGACTCTCTCTTCTGGCCTCCAAGAGCACATGCCCACAGACACCAGGAACAGATACATACAACTTTAAAAGTAAATATTAAAAAGATAAAAATAAAATAGCCACATTCAAAACATTACAACAAAATGTATTTTTTTATTAGCAATTAGGCAAATAGCAAAATTAGTCCATTTTTACATTCAGAAAATATATGTATATTCCATATGGATCAAAGCCCAGAAATCATGCAAAAATAACTCTATATACAAGCCAATCCTAAAATGTATGTTTTGTATTTACATTTTAAAATTGCAAGAAAAAAAACAGTTTAGAAATTTTCTGAGAGCCAGATGTAGTGACACACACCTTTAATCCCAGCACCTGGGAGGCAGGTGGATCTCTGTGAGTTCAAGACCAGCCTGGTCTACAGAGTGAGTCTCAGAGACAGCCAGGGTTTTGTAGAGAAATCCTGTCTTGAAAGAAAGAAGCCTCTGGAATAAAGTGACCCTAGCAGCTGCTGGCACCATTCAGCCTCTCCTCTCCATTGGCAGTGAGTGGATGACTGTTTTCTCCTGGCCATGGCTTGCCAAAATTGTTACCATACGTGTTAGGGTCAGAGCTTGGGCCTTAGCATCCCTAACAAGCTAGGCTTGGCCACCCATCCTCAAATATGTCAATTAAATTCACCATTACTAATGAAAAGCAGAAAAGTATTTGTTCAGTGTGGCCACACTGGAAAGAGATCCAGTGACACCGTCTGTTTGGGGTTCTGACATACATGAATTTTAGATTGATAGAAGGTGTGTATGCATAACTAACCATTCCTGGTCAAGGTGTGGCCCCAAGTACTGTCATTGGCTCCTGGCTCCGGCAAGGTGGTCTGACAAATTGTCAGGACTATGAGATCTTTCTGAGGTGACAACTTCCTCTGCCTGGCACCTGGGCTCAGCCTTTTCCTTCTCCCCAAATGAGATTCCGGGGGAGTTCCAGTGTAGTCCATTGTCTCTGTAGTCTGACAGCAGAGGAGGAGCACTGGTCTTTTTAGACTCTCTATTCCTGTGGGGATAGTTGCACAGGAGTTGCAGGCGTGAACCAGCAGGTCTGGCCACACCTAGCTGTTTTAATAGCTTTTCCAACTGATGGTAGGTATTCTTTGATGCTACACCTAAGCTTGGCAAGTAGTCATTTTTTTGTGGTCTGTACAGCCTCATGCATGCTAGACAAGCACTCTGTCATGTGTTACATTGCTCACAAGACATGCGGTCATTTCTCAAAAGTCAGTTGCAAGATTGATCATTTAGCTCGGTAATACCTGGGGTTTTGTCCTCTGCACCAGGAAAAAAAAATAGTTGCAAGGGCTGAAGAGATGGCTCAGCAGTTTAAAGTATTGGGTGCTCTTCCTGTGGACATAGGTTCAATTCCCAGCACCCACATGGCAGCTCACAACCACCTGTCACTTCAGTTCCAGGTGGTCTGGTGCACTTTTCTGACCTCCAGAGGTCACTGCATGCAGGTGGTGCACAGACACACATGTAGGCAAAAGTAGTCATGCACAAATAATTTTTAAAATAATACAAGAAATCTGAAGCCATACCAAAAGAATTTTTGTGTTGTGTACCTTAAAAACAATTGTCTGCCTTATACTTTTATTTTTGGCTGTACTGGGACTTGAACCTAGAACCTTGCACATAGTAAAGAAGTGTTCTACTACTGAGCTGTTTTTTACTATTAAATTTGTGGCAAGTCTCACTAAATTACCCAAACTATGCTTGAATTCATATTATAGTCCAGATAGGCCTTGAACTTTTGCATCATCGTGCTTAGATTAAGCCCAGGGCTTTGGAATGCTAAGCAACCCTCTTTGAAATGAGCTCTCTTCTAGCCTTTGACTTGTTTTTTGAAATAGGAGTCTCATGATATAGTCCAGGTTGGTCTCAAACTTGGAATCTTCCTGTTGTAGCCTCCAAGAAACGGGAATTACTGCAATTACAGGCCTTTGCCTGGTGCGTGTGTGGAGGTCAGAGGACAGCTTTCTGGAGCTACTTCTCTCCTTTTACCACGTGGATCCTGGGGTCAAACTCGGGTTGTCAGACTTCGGAGGTGTCTCCTAGGTGATTTCTGCCAAGCCTGATGACCTGAGTGGACAGAGAGAACCAGCTCCTGCAAGCTGTTCTCTAACACACACACACACACACACACACACACACACACACACACACACACACACACACACAGAGAGAGAGAGAGAGAGAGAGAGAGAGAGAGCAGGAGAGAGAATGAAAAAATAAATGTAGACTGGCCCTCCTGTAGCCCAGGCCTGCCTAGAACTCACTGTGGAGCTGAAGGTGACTCACTGTGGAGCTTCTCATCCGCCTGCCTCCACTCCTCGGTCCTAGTGTTACGGTGTGTACTGCTTTCAGAGCAAGGACTGTCTTAAATAGCACCTACCTTCCCTGCTAAAGCACATGGCAGTGAATACAGTAAGTTTATTTCACAATTTGTTTTGGGCAAAGGCAACAGCAATTATACCCTCTGTGATATTTTCACTGTCATTGCAAATGCTAAGATGCTTGAAAAAAAAGTCAAATGATACCTTAGTATTATAGCAAAAATAGTTTGCTGTATTACAGGATCACATGGATCCCTGTAAGGTTATTTAGTATGGCTCAGGAGCCATAAACCACATTTTTGAACTGCTGTCCTAAGCAAATCACTGGCTAGTGGGAGTTTTTTCTTGCATGCTGCCTGTGGTAATGCTCGCACATAATCTCAGTACCTGGGAAGTGAAGACCGGAGGATCAGGAGTTGAAGGTCATCCTCAGCTACATGATGAATTAAAGGTCAGCTTGGGCTACCAGAGTTTCTGTCTCAAAAAAAAAAAAGTTTGTTCTCTGTAAACGTTGATTGGCATTATATCATTTTGCCATAGCTAGAAAACAAAAAGATTAACAGCTGCAATTCATTTTTTAAAAGATGCTTCTTAGTAGGGAAACTGAAAACTCCCTAGAGTGGGAGGGGTTCCCAGAGAGGACTGCTTCCATGTGCCCTGCCCAGTGTTCTGTTTAAAGTATTTCATTTATTATTGTTGCTTGTGTAGGATGCATGTGCACTGCACGCATACAGAGGACAGCTTATAGTCAGAATCAGTTCTCTCCTCCTACCAAGGATTCTGGGGGTAGGACTCAGGTCATCTGGCTCGTATGGAAAGCGCTTTGACCTGCTGAGCCGTCTCACAAGCCCTGCCTGGTGCCTTTATGTCTTCCAGAGGGCTTGGCTTGAGACCGAGGCAGACCTTACTGAAATTGGTCATTTTTGAGCTCATCAAAGGCTGAGTCAATGAGGAGTCTACACACCCTGTACTGAAACGATTAGGCCTTACTCATCCAATCCACTCGTGTGCTACAGGCCCTGTGTTTTTTTGTTTGTTTTTTTTCAGAGCTGAGGACCGAACCCAGGGCCTTGCGCTTGCTAGGCAAGCGCTCTACCACTGAGCTAAATCCCCAACCCCTACAGGCCCTGTGTTAAGGGGAATTAACTCAAACTTTCTGTCAAGCAGCAGTTTTACAGAGAGGTACCCTTGTGCCTTGCCTAGAAATCAGGGTGCAGATTTTGAACTGTGTTCTTTAAAATTCTATTCCACCACTGAGTCTGGTGATGAAAACCTGTAGTCCCAGCTACTTGGGAAGTTGAGGCAGGAAGATCACAGATTCAAGGCCTACCTGAGCTGTGGTGTGAGTTTCACACCAGCCTGAGCAATTTATCTAGGTCCCTCTCAGAATAAAAAAGGGCAGGTGTGGTGACACTAGCCTGTAATCCTAGCACTTGGGAGTGGAGTCAGAAAGATCAAAAGTTCCGAGACTGTCCTTAGCTACATAGCAAATTTGAGGTAGTGTAGGCTACATGAGCACCTGTCCGACAGACACAGACATCTTGTGAACACATTCACTGTGGTTTTGGTGGTATGTGTCGATAGCTAAGCATTTAGGGTGTGGAGGAAGGAAGATTTTTGAGTTCGATGCTTTCATGGGCTACATAGTGAGTTACAGGCCAGCCTGCATGACAAAACCATGTCTTAGAGAAAACAAACAGAAAGCAAGAAGACGTCTTACAGACAGCTGCTTTCCTTGTGTTCACATTGCAGCTACCTGGATACCGTGGTTCCTATGCATAAAGATGTCTCTGGTGGATCTGGGGAAGAGGCTGCTAGAAGCTGCAAGGAAAGGCCAAGATGATGAAGTGAGGACGCTGATGGCGAACGGAGCCCCGTTCACCACAGACTGGGTACGTTTACTGGAAGGCCCCAGTCGGCTCCAGTCACGCCTTAACCTGCCCTAAGGCTGAGCAGGCGGGGTTCCCTCTCCTGGGTCCTTCCCTACGAGGACTTGATTTGTGACGCCTGTTGACTGCATCCCCTTCTTAGTTTTCCAGTGTGAAAGTTACCTGTCAGTATATAGTGTATTGTAAGCTGTTAAACAGTGGGAATTTTTCCCTTTTATTCTCTATTTTTTTATTTGCAGTTGTGATGGTGTCCTAGAACTTGGGAGGCAGAGGCAGGAAGACCTCTGAGTTTGAGGCCATCCTGGTGTACATAGCAAGCTCCAAGACAGCCAAAGCTACATGAGATCCTATCTCAAAAAACAAACTAAAAAAACTCCCCAAAGTGGTCCACTGACCTTCACACTTATACACCTGTGTGTGTACATGCATACACATACATGCAAATAAATCTTACAAATACCAGGCATAGTTGTATACATCTTTCTGTTTGTTTGTTTTTGTAACAATCCTAGATGTCCTGAAACTTGCTTCGTAGTAGACCAGGCTGGCCTCAAACTCACAGAAATCCTGAGTGCTGGGGTTAAAGGCATGGCAGCACCACTGCCAGATAGTTAGATACATCTTTAATCCCAGCACTTGGGAGGTAGAAACAGGAGGATTAACCATGGCTTAAAGACTCTGTCACAGGGGAAAAAAGGTGCAGGGGGCAGGTGGTGGTGGTGGCGGCGGCGGCGGCGGCGGTGGTGGCGCACGCCTTTAATCCCAGCACTCGGGAGGCAGAGGCAGGCGGATCTCTGTGAGTTCGAGGCCAGCCTGGTCTACAGGGCGAGTTCGGAGACAGGCTCCAGAGCTACACAGAGAAACCCTGTTCTGCCTGCACACCAGAAGAGGACCCCACATCTCATTATAAATAATTGTGAGCCACCATGTGGTTGCTGGGAATTGAACTCAGGACCTGTTTACTCTTAACCTGTGAGACATCTCTCCAGCCTGTGTTCACAGATTTTCTACACATTGGCTGATGTTAACAATTTTTATGATGGAGTGATGATTATTGTAGTATGAATAATTCATAACTTCAGGGTCCAACTGGTTCTCTTTTTATTTGTTTATTTGTTTGTTTGTTTTAAGACAGGGTCTCTCAATGAAGCCCTGACTGTCCTGGGCTTCCATCGCACAGAGATCTGCCTACCTGTGCCTTCCAGGTGCTGAGGCTAAAGGCACATGCCACCATACCCAGCTCAGAATACTCTTTGTTTGTTTGTTTATTTTTTCAAGACAAGGTTTCTCTGTGTAGCTCTGGCTGTCCTGGAACTCACTTTGTAGAACAGGCTGGACTTGAACTCACAGAGATCCACCTGCCTCTGCCTCAAAAGTCCTGGGACTAAAGGCATACCCAACCACCGCCCAGTTTAGAATACTCTTTTTGATACCAAAAAAACCCCAAAAAACTATCTTGTAAGCCATGCTTAAAATCCCATCCTTTAGTGAGTCTTACCCAGTAAATCTGCCTGACTTAAAATCATTATACTTTACATTTATTTAATTTGTGGCCCCTTTAACTGCCCATTAACATATTAATTTTATGTATTTTTATTATTTTTAATTATGTATATATGTGTATGTCTATGTAGGCATATGTGCACGTGAGTACAGGTATCCTTGGAAACTAGGATGTTGGATCACCTGCAGCTGGAATAACAGCTGTAAATTACCTAACATGGGTGCTGGGAACTGAACTCAGTGCTCTTAACCACTGAGTTATCTCCAGCCCCAGTATATTTATTTTTAAATTTTATTATTTATTCAGTCTTAGCTGACCAGTAAGATTCTTTCTCTAAGGATGAATACTATGGGATTCGTTTCTTGTTCAGATATCTCTGTCCAGAAATGATACGGCTCTACACACAGTAGAATTCAGTGAGTACTGTCTCCCCACAGCTTGGAACATCGCCTCTTCACCTTGCAGCCCAGTATGGTCATTATTCCACAGCAGAAGTGCTCCTTCGAGCAGGCGTTAGCAGGGATGCTCGGACCAAGGTGGACAGGACCCCTTTGCATATGGCTGCCGCTGACGGACATGCGCACATCGTGGAGCTGCTTGTTAGGGTAAAGCAAGAATTGTGGTGGGACTATGTTGAAAAACAGACATTCGCCTCCCATAGCTTTTCTTAAATAGTGGTGGGAAGACTTGAGAGTTGATGGTCATTAAGTTGCATCTCTATTTATTTATTTATTTAGATTAATTTATTCACGAAAATTGTGTCTCAAGAGTTGTGAAGATGAGTTTGTTTTTTAAAGGCTAAACAGATTTTATGATTTTTCTTCACTCCTTTTCTGTAGGTGTTCTCTGTACTTGTGCCTATTTTTTTTCAGGCCCTACTCAGCTTTCTGCTAATAAATGCAACAAAATCTGTTCCTTCGCCCTTCCTCAACCATCTGTTAGAATTTCCCAGTGATGTCCTTAGCAGACCCACTCATTGGAAGCATAACGTCTCCGCATTCAGGCGGACTTGAGAAATGTTTTTAGCCTTTGATAGTCCTTAAGTGAGGACCAGAGTGAACTAGTGTCCCTGTTGTTCTAGGATCTTACGCCTGAGCTCCTGTAACCAACAGCTACTGAAAAGTTGTTTTTTGTCTGACAGAGCGGTGCGGATGTGAATGCCAAGGACATGCTGAAGATGACGGCCTTGCACTGGGCCACAGAGCACCACCACCGAGACGTTGTTGAATTACTTATCAAATATGGAGCCGATGTCCACGCTTTTAGCAAATTTGATAAGTCTGCCTTTGACATAGCACTGGAGAAAAACAATCCTGAGATTCTGGTCATCCTTCAGGTATGGTTCCTTTATATTCCCCAAAGTACGCTTCAACTTACAGATTATTTTGAGAGAGCTGAATTAAAACAGAATTTCCCCCATTTTATTAAAAGAGCACTTCTAGCCTGCCTCACTCATGTGACTCTGTATTAGCAGCTCTCTCACACACACACCCCTAGTGGAGACAGGGTCTCAAGTAGCCCAGGGTGATCTCAGATTTTGTATGTAGCTAAAGATGACTCTTGATCCTCCTGCCTCTGCCTCCCGTATGCTAGACTTACAGACTGTACTGTTGTGCCCGGCTTTTGTTCTGAGACAGCCTCCCTGTGAAGCTAAAGCTGCCCTCCAAGCAGGCCTGCACTTAGTTGTTGTTTTTAAAGGATTATAGAATGTCCTGAATCGTTCCTGGTAAGCAGAGAAGAATATTTTCAAAATACTCAGTGCTGACATCGCAGAGCAGAACTCTACAAACCTTTTCTTGTCCTGAGAGTTGCCCAATTTGTGAATAATTTTTTTTGCTTCTAAAAATGAATTAAATGGAAAAATGCAGCCAGAACAGGAAGAACATCTACTTGACTATCTGTGGTGATATTGTGTTCCCCAAAATATTGTGCACCCTAATAAACTTATCTGGGGTCAGAGAACAGAACAGCCACTAGATATAGATCCCAGAAAATGGTGACACCACACACCTTTAATCCTAGCATTCCAGAGGCAGAGATCCGTCTGGATCTCTGTGCGTTCAAAGCCATACTGGAAACAGCCAGGCATGGTAACAAGAGCCTTTAATCCCAGGAAGTGATGGCAGGAAGCAGAAAGGTATTTAAGGCATGAGGACGAGGAACTAGAGCCTGGTTAAGCTTTTAGGCTTTTGAGCAGCAATTCAGCTGAGATGCATTTGGATGAGGACTCAGAGGCTTAAAGTCTGAGGAAACAGGATCAGCTGAGGAATTGGCAAGGTGAGATTGGATGTGGCTTGTTCTGTCTCTCTGATCTTTCAGCATTCACCCCAATACCTGGCTCCAGGTTTGTTTTTATTGATAAGACTTTTTAAGATTCATGCTACAACTATCCATTGTTTTCTCTCCATTAAAACGTCCATTTCTAGTTAAACTAAACTAAAAGTCACGGCTGGGCACTTTGATCCCAGCATTTGGTAGATCTGCTGTCTCTCCCTACTGAGTGTGAGTTCCAGGTCACTTTGGTCCACAGAGCAAGTTCCAGTCCAACAAGGGCTACATGGTGAGACCCTGTCTCAAGAAAAGAAAGGAAAAAAGAATTGTTGCTGCTGGAGATATGGCTCAGCAATCAAAAATACTTACCAACAGGCAATGGTGGTGTACACCTTTAATCCCAGCACTTGGGAGGCAGAGGCAGGTGGATCTCTGTGAGTTCAAGGCCAGCCTGGTCTACAGAGTGAGTTCTGGGACAGCTGGGACTGTTACACAGAGAACCTGTTTTGAAAAACCAAAAATAAAGAAATAACAGAATACTTACCAGTCTTACAAAGGACCCAGGTTCATTTCCCAGCACCCACATAGGGAAGTTCACAACTGCCTAATTCCAGTTCCAGGGCCTCCCATATCCTCTTCTGCCCTCCATTGGCACCTGTGCACACATGGTACACATAAACTCATACAGCCACACACACACACATATATACATATGCACATTAAAAAGAAAAACATTTTAAATACGAAAGTCACTCTCCAGGGCTGGGAGATTGCTTAGATGAGAAGGTGTGTCTTGTGAACATGAGGAACTGAGTTTGATCCCCAGAACCCATGCACAGAAGCCAGGTGTGGGGCCGTGAGGTGCTCAGTGGGTAAAGGCCATTGCTGCCACTTCTGACAGCCTGAGTTTAGTCCCTGGTACCCAACTCTAAGGAGAAACTCAACTCCTGCAAGTGTCCCCTGACCTGCTGTTGTGGGACACTTTTCCTGGGGACACACAACACACACTGTCCACTCACTCCAGAAAGGGAGCCCATGACAGACCAAAGTAACCGTGTGTTGCACCAAAATCCAATTTGGTGAAGCAATGAGTTTTGATTGGGGTTATTAACAGAAGTGTGGATGAGGGGATCTCACAAGGAGCAGGGATAACATAAAAGCAGCTCCATCACCAGAACACCCACCCCAGGGTGGAAGACTGCAGCCCTCTACTCCACTGTCCGGCACCTAACTCCACATTCCTAACGTCTCTTTCTGGAGTGGTGGTCAGTCTCCACCCCAACAACTATTCACTCCTTTTTACACTGTTGGTAGGCCCTCGAGAATCTTCCAGACCTCTGTTCTTTCTCTGATATGTGGCTTTCTGCTGGTCAGCCTCTCCTTGCTTTCTGGAGCAGATGTTCCAATTTAGAGGGAATGTTGCAAATCAGAGGAATTCATGCCTTAGAATTCATGCATGTGTGTGCCCTGGCACACTAGTGCCACATGTACACACACAACAAAAAATTGTAATTAAAACATTTGTAAAACAGCTGTGGAAACAGTGTACTTATAATCTCAAAGTTGGGGAAGCAGAGAGCTTGCTGGCCATCCAGCCTTGCCTACTTGAACTCCAGACCAGTGAGAGACCTTACCTCAGAAAAACAAGGGAGATAGCATCTGAGGAACAATAGTAAAGGTTGTCCTCAGGCTGCTCCCTCCCACACATACATGTACATACAGTCACTGTCCAGTCAAGGTGGCACGTCTGTATAATCCACCGTTATGGATTATCTGTTGATAGGAGGAGTGGAGTTCAAACTCATCTTCAGCTACCTAGCCAGTTTAAGTCCCACCTGGACTACTTGAGACCCTGTCTCAAAAAAACAAAATCCGGCCGGGCGGTGGTGGCGCACGCCTTTAATCCCAGCACTCGGGAGGCAGAGCCAGGCGGATCTCTGTGAGTTCGAGGCCAGCCTGGGCTACCAAGTGAGTCCCAGGAAAGGCGCAAAACTACACAGAGAAACCCTGTCTCGAAAAACCAAAAAAAAAAAAACAAAAAACAAAACAAAATCCAAATCAAGAAACAACCGCCCTGCACCTGTGAAGTGTCTGTGTGATGCCTCAGTGTGTGTCTCCCCATACCCACACAGAGGGAAACAAACACCCAGACCTGAAAGGCAGAGACCCTTACCTCCTCACTTCTCCACAAACACACACACTCTTCACCTGTCCCTACAAAGACAGATCCTGAAGCCATCAAAAATTAAATTCAGCCGGGCGATGGTGGTGCACGCCTTTAGTCCCAGCACTTGGGAGGCAGAGCCAGGTGGATCTCTGTGAGTTCGAGGCCAACCTGGTCTACAGAGTGTGAGATCCAAGATAGGCACCAAAACTACACAGAGAAACCCTGTCTCGGGGAAAAAAAAAAGTTAAAAAAAATTAAATTCAAACAAGCAAACAAATTAAATTTGGGGATGACTTGGTGGGTGGGGCGTTAGCTGCCACGCCTGACAACCTGGTTCAGTCCCCAGAGCCCGTGTGCTGGAAAGTGAAAACTGACTGCGACCCTCATGTGTGTGTGTGTGTGTGTGTGTGTGTGCACGCGCGCACACTGACTAAAAACATGTAGAGCCAGGCTGGTGGCACACGCCTTTAATCCCAGCACTCAGGAGGCAGAAGCAGGTGGATCTCTGACTTCTAGTCTGGCCCAGTGTATATACTGAGTTCCCAAACAGAGTTACACAGAGTCTTTTTTTGGAAGGGGAGTGTTTCAAAACAGGGTTTCTTTGTGTGACTCTTCCTGTCTTGGATCTCGCTTTGTAGACCAGGCTGGCCTCGAACTCACAGAGATCTGCTTGCCTCTGCCTTCTGAGTGCTGGGATTAAAAGGTGTGTGCCACCACCATCTAGCTTACACAGAGAGTCTTAAAAAGTAAATAAATAAATTTAAAGGCAGGCAGATATTAATTGGATCAGTGAAATGGCTCAGGTAGAGACACCTGCCAAGTCTAGTGACCCGCGTTTGATTCCCTGGACCGTGTGGTGCAAGGTGCCAGTGGTTTGCTGGCCTCCCCACACACAAAGAAATGTGGTTAAATTTTTAAATTATATTCATTTTTCAGGAAAAAAAGTTACTCTATTCTAGAAAAAGCACAAACCAAAAACAGAGATATGAAATAACATGGAATGTTTAAAGAAAACTTGTAGTACGTATCTAGAGAATGAGCAGTGGGCCTGGAGTTTGGGAATGGCAGGTGCTCGGGAGTTATACATGTGGTCTTGTTACATGCCTAGTGAGGCAGTTTCTTATGTGGGCGATGGGACATAGTAGAAGCTTTTTCTATTTTATTTTGTATGTTTTTAAGACGGTCTCCCTATATAGCCTAGTTTTCCTGGAAGTGGCTTTGTAGACCAAGGCTGTCCTTAAATTTACAGAAATCCACCTGCCTCTGCCTCCTGAGTGCTGGGATTAAAGCTGCACCACCACCCAAGGCCGAAGGTTTTTTGAGTGGGCGTTGAAAGATGATCTTGTTGTGTGGCTCTGCTTTATCTGGTACTTGCTATATAGCCTGTGCTGACCTCAGACTCAAGGTAATCCTCCTGCCTCAGCTTCTGGAGTGCTGGGATTATAAGTTTGAACTGCCACATCTGAATTTAGAAACTCAAATCTGGGATTTGTGTGATTGTTTTAAGAAATTAATTGGAGTTGGCACACACATTGGACGGAGAAGACAATGCTAAATAGCATGATTGCTCTCATCAGGCCAGGCCAGCCTGCCTGTGAGTGCTTCACTGTGGAAGCTGGAGAGGGTGCCAGTAGCAGATTGAAGAAAGAGTTACAGTATCCGGGAGTGAATAATCTGTTTCAATTGAAGTTCTCAGTCAAGGGATAATTCCATATGAAAAATAGCTGCTGTGCATTCTCAGTTTTTGTTCGTTTTCATGACATGCTTTTCCAAAGACTGGTTATTCTCCTTAACTTCCAGTTATTGTCCAAAGTCCTTTGTAACTGGACTTTTTAGTAGTTACGGTGTTTGTAGAAAACTTGTGAGAGTGAAACTAAAAGATAAGCATCTTTTCATGTGGTGGAGCAGACATCCTCGGAAGCAAGAGTGTAGCATATGGAATTAGACTTGGAAATCTGCTACTCATTTACCTGCTTGTTAGGTGTTCTCTGAGGGATTTCTTCAGTGGCAGAATGGAACAGGTTGTAGGCTGAAACCCTAGAGAATACTGTTCTCTGCAGGGATCTCCTGCTAGCACCTTGTCTTGCAGATAATTGATCACAGAATATCAGTGCTGCAAATTACCCCTTAGACTGTCCACACCAGTTCCTTCCCTTCTTTTTTTTTTTTCTTTTTTTCTCAAGTTTAAAAAAATGCAGAGAGGTTAAACGAAGCATGTAGAAGGCTTTGTGAATCGTGCACCTTTGCTTTCTCAAGCAGAAACAAGCTTGGGAAGCAAGCTCATACGTTGCTCTAGTTGGAGAGGAGCAGCAGTCTTAGCTCCCTGGACATTGTATACCAGGCTAGTTCTGCTGATGGAGCTCTGGTGGGAGGGCCGTTCAGTGACTGTGACTGAGGTTCTGACGGAAATGTCCTGCTTTGTTTGCTAGGAAGCAATGCAGAATCAGGTGACCATTACCCCCGAGAGAGCCAACCCAGTGACTAACCCTGTGACTGTGACTGCTCCCTTCATCTTCACCTCTGGAGACGTTGTCAACCTCGCTAGCTTTGTTTCTTCAGCCAACACCAAAGCAACCTCAGGTAAAATCTGGTAATGAGACATCTATTTGAGGCTTAAAAATGAGCAGAATCCCATTTTCCTAGACATGAATGGTTATTCCATCTGATACCCACTCTTATAAAAAATATTCCCTAAATAATGCTGGGATTAAAGGTCTGAGATAGAACACTTGCTGCATGTATAAGCCATACGCTAAACCTCCAATACCCCAAATGCAAAAGTGAAGCTGTTTCTCAAACTTGTTTTTCAGTGTAGATGCTGAACTCAGGCCTCCCTCACACGCTGGGCTGTGCTCACAGCCCATTCTTTCCTTTCTCTGTTTGCTATTTGTTTGGTTTATTTAAGACAGCATCTCACTGTAATGCAGGATGGCCTTGGACTCATTGTATAGTTCATGCTGGCCTTGGACTTGTAGCAGTCCTCTGTCTCAGCTTCCTAATTGCTGGGATTATATACCACCATAGCCAGCTTTATGATAACTTTTAAAGCCAAGGCTTTTTTTCTTTCTGGGAAAAGGAAGATTGAAGGGAATTATAGTCAAAGGATTATAAATGAACACTGTTAAAAACAAAATAGTCTACACATTTATGTGTCAAAAAGTTTGCCTCCAAAAGAATTTTTTTTGAAAGAAAGAAAAGAAGGCCGCACCTTACCGGGCATGGTGGTACCTGTCTAGAACTCCAGCACTCAGGAGGGGAGGCAGGAGGAGCATAGTTCAAAGTCAGTATCTGTTACATTAGGCCTTGTCTCAGAATCTAAGTGAGATAGTCCAGGCCTTTAATCTCGGCACCCAGGAGGCAGAGGCAGGGGAATTTTTCAGTCTCGAGCCAGCCTGGTATACATAATAGACAAACGGTTGAGCAAACAGGAGGTTATGCCTTGGGCTAAGATACAGCTTGGTTATTGATGTGTTTGCCTGGCATGTGCAAAGCCCCATCGCTCCAGAGACCGCTCGATAGCACACACGTGATGGCGGGCGGGCGCTGCAGAATCAGAAGTTCAAGGTCACCCTCAGGGTTCAAGGTTAATTCAAGGGGGAAAAAACTGTACCTGAATCTAAAATGGAAATATAAGTTTCTCAGTGTGGTACTGCTGAGGGAAATAATTAAATATTCTTAATTTAAAACAGAAACAAAGCTAGGCCTTTAGTTCCAGCACTCGGGGAGCAGAGGCAGGTGGATCTCTGTGAATTTGAGGCTAGCCTGGGCTACAGAGCGAGTTCCAGGACAGCCAGGGCTACACAGAGAAACCCTGTCTTGAAAAACAAAAAAAAAAAAGAAGTAATAACAGCAATAAAAAAATCAACATAGAATAAGTATAAAAAAGGCACATGTGATTATTTGAATAAAGTAAACATTCGTTCATGAGCATGTATTTTGCTCGTGTGTGTGTGTGTGTGTGTGTGTGTGTGTGTGTGTGTGTGTGTGTGTGGTTTTTGCTTGTTTTGTCTCATTATATACTTTAAACTGGCTTACTTTAGCTCTCCATCACTGAGATTACAGGTTTACACTATTCTGCTGAGTTTGGGATATATACACACACACACACACACACACACACACACACATACATACACACACATATATATATATGCATGCACATATATATCTTAATTATTATTGTTGTTGTTGTTATTTAAAGCAGAGAAAAATACTCGCTATCACTCATTTGACACCCTCATGCTTTTGGAGGTGGGAGGATGGGAAGTGCCGAGACAGGTCTTGGAGCCTTGGATGGCGTTAAATTTGTAATCCTCCTGTCTCCACCTTCCCAGTGCTGTGATTGCAGGTGTGTGCCACACACCTAGCCTGAGGCCTGCATATTTTAAACTCTAAAAAGGAGCAAATGAGCTTGTTTTCACCATTACCTTTTGTAAATATGTGTTTTGTGACAGAGGAAAGTGCATCCTCAAATAAATTTCCAGTTCTTGACTTTTTTCTGTTTTTGACTTTTCAAAAAGTAAAAGGAAGGCTAGGTGTGATGGTGTGGTGACTTGACAGCTCTAATCAGAGCACCAGGGAGGCAGAGGCAAGAGCTCTGTGAGTTTGAGACCAGTCTGTTCTACTCAGCAAGTTCCAGGCCAGCACGAGCTACACAGTGAGTCCCTCTTTCAAACAAACAATGCCCCCCCCCAAAAAAACAAACTAAATAGTAAAGTATGGTGATACTATATTTCTGTACTCCCAGCACTCAGAAAACGAAGACAGGAAGACTACCAAAAGTTTCAGGCCAGCCTGAGCTACATAATGAGAGTCTGTCTCAAATAAATAGAAAATGTATAACAGCAAATGATTAAAAATAAATAACTGGGCTGAGAATGTAGCTCACTGATACAGAACTTGCCTACCATGTACAGAACACTGGATTCAATCCTAGTACTTAAGAAAAAAAGGAGTAACTATATTCCCAAGCAAGCTGTAGAATACCAAAGGGAGGATCGTGAATGCATTGCTTTTTTGAGAGGCAGTGTGGTGAATAGATGTACAGAAACAGAATTCTGGGACTAGACAAGGGAGCTGGAGAGATGGTTCAGTGGTTAAGAGCACTGACTGCCTTACAGAGGACCTGGGGTTGGGGCCCAGCATTCTTTTTTTGGAGGGGGGTTTGTTTTTCAAGACAGGGTTTTTCTGGCTGTCCTGGAACTCTCTGTAGACCAGGCTGGCCTTGAACTCAGAGATCCACCTGCCTCTGCCTCCCAAGTGGGGGTTAAAGGCGTGCACCACCATCGCCACCTCCCAGCAGTGACTAACTAGTTTCTTTTCCTTGGGAAAACTCTCTTCCTCACCCCCCCACCCCTCCCCCAAACCCCCAACCCCCTCCCACCCCACCCTGGAGCTGAGGACCGAACCCAGAGCCTTGCGCTTGCTAGGCTCTACCACTGAGCTAATCCCCAACCCGGGGAAAACTCTTAAGTCTTGTTTACTGGTCTATAAAATGGGACTATAATAGCCAATTTTATGAATTTGTTGAGATTTTGGTTTGATTTTTGTAGTTTTTTCTTTCTTTTTTTAAATAATTGTTTGAAACAGTCTCATTCTGTAGTCTAGGCTAGTCTGGAACTTTCTATGCAGCCCAGCCTGGCCTCAAACTCTTGAGCTCCTGTTCCCCCGATTCTTCCTCCCTGTGGCCACCATGACAAGCTTGAGACCTTTAGTCGTGTCCGTTTATCGCGGGGCTTCAAAAACAACCGGTAAAGGAACTGAGGGCTAGAGCGGTGGTGTTTGAGCAGGAAGTCATGAGTTGGAAGTCCGGTGAGGTTATGTAGTATGAATAAGGGTGACAGTGTTATACCCACCAGAGGGCAATAGTGGTCTCCATTTTAGAAGCTATCTTCCTTTGGTCTTTTTTTGGTTTTGTTTTTTTTTTTTTGTTTTTTGTTTTGAGACAGGGTCTCTCTATATGGCCCTGGCCGTCCTGGAACTCACTACATAGATCAAGCTGACCTCGAACTCAGAGAGATCTGCCCTCCTCTGCCTCCTGAGCACTGGGATTTTTTTCAGACAGGGTTTCTCTATATATATAGTCCTGGCTGTTCTGGACCTCACTCTGTAGACAAGGCTGACCTGGAACTCATAGATCCACCTGTTTCTGCCTCCTGAGTCTGGGGATTAAAGGGGTGGACCACAACTGCCCAGATTTTAATAGACTTTCAATAGTCATTTTATATTACTTTGTCATCAGCTAGCCAATTCAGAAACTCAGCTTAATATACATATGCATATAATCAGAAATGTTTATCCCTCTTTTTATTTTATGGTTTGGGCATTATTACCTAGAAAATTTTTTTTAATAATTCAAAAATTTTGGTCAGACTTGTTAGCTAAAGTCTGTAATCCTGTCTCTTCAGGAGGCTGAGGCAGGAGGATCAAAAATTCAAGAATGTGGCTGGGCGGTGGTGGCGCACGCCTTTAATCCCAGCACTCGGGAGGCAGAGCCAGGCGGATCTCTGTGAGTTCGAGGCCAGCCAGGTCTCCAAAGCGAGTTCCAGGAAAGGCGCAAAGCTACACAGAGAAACCCTGTCTCGAAAAACCAAAAAAAAAAAAAAAAAAATTCAAGAATGAGCCAGGCGTTTGTGGGGCGTTTACCTACCAACCCCACAGCTCCCAGAGTTTTCTTGAGTGCGAGCAGCAGGAAATATTAGAAGGATTTATATTTCGGAGATAAACAGATAGAAAATAAAGGATAGCCTCAAGAGGGCCTGGAACCTTTTCCAACGGGCCCTGTCTCTGCCCCAGGGTTTTTATAGAGACGCCAAGGGGTGGAGCAAAAGATCTCCTCCCCCAGCACAGCCAAGTGCAGACCATCCCAGACACCTGCACTCAGGCCCGTGGTCCTAATCATCCTCTATGCGGACCTGCTGGGTAAAGCCATGAGGAACCTGAAAACGGACTCCCACAGGCGTTGGTGGCACACGCCTTTAATCCCAGCACTTGGGAGGCAGAGGCAGGCGGATCTCTGTGAGTTTGAGGCCAGCCTGGTCTACAGAGCAAGATCCAGGACAGGCACCAAAACTACACAGAGAAAACCCTGTCTTGAAACAAACAAACAAACAAAAAAAAATTCAAGAATGGGGCCCACAAATGGCTCAGTGGGTAAAGCATATGCTGTGTGAGCTTGAGTTTGATTCCCCAGAACCCACATGGAGGTGGCAGACCCAGTACTTGGGAGTCAGATGCAGGCAGATCTCTTTATTTTGAGGCCATCCTCATCTACATACCAAGTTCCAGGATAGTAGCCTTGACTACTATAGTCAAGGCTACATTGAGAGATCCTGTCTGAAAAAAAATTTTAAATGAACTAAAAAACTAAAGTATCAATATTCTCTAGAAGAGCAGCCAGTGCTCTTCACCACTGAACATCTCTCAGGCCCCTTATTCCTTTTGACAACAGGGTCTTACACCATAGCTTAAGCCAGCCTGTTACTTAGTGTAGGCCAGGCTGGCTTTGAATTCTTGGTAGTTGTCCTCCTTAGCTTCCTGACTTGTGGGTTTCAGGTATGAGACACCATGCTAGCTTCAGG